CCCCCCCCCCCCCAAAAAAAAAAAAAAGCCGGTAAAGACTAAGCGTCACACTTTCAATCTAATATTCAAACCTTTCCACATATTTTGTATGATAAGTGAACAATATGATATACAATCCGGGTGCAACTACATATCAAAATGATTTTCTACACAAAAATAAGTAAGATATACCAAAAAAAAAAACAGAGGGCTTGCAAGAGAATTGATTTGAAAATAGTTCTCTTTTTTATAGAACAAACATCTTATGAAAACATTTTTTGAATAACTATTTTTCTAAAAAAAAAAAATGAAAAAGAAAAAAGAAACAAGCATTTTCCATTAAGAACTTGATAAGTACAAGAGGACCAAAGAGTTGCATTAAGGGTTTCCCATTGGCTCAGATATCAGAGAGAGAGAGAGAGAGAGAAAGAGTAATTACACAGATACTTGAATCTTAAGGGCCCACAAAGCCATAAAATTGTATACTCTTCTAAAATAACATATTACCAAAGGTTCAATTACACTTCTTATAAATGAGTTCAAAAATAAAATTAAGAATTAAAATACATATAATTTTAAAAAATAAATAAATAAACATTTTGAAAAATGAAAATAGCTTTTGAAACAAGCCAACATCTTCTTATACAAAGAATAAAAAAAAAAAAAAGGTTCAAGAGAAATGTTCAAACACTATAATTACAAGAAAAACTAAAAAAACAAACAAATCATCTACAGAGAGATTTGTAAAAGGTATATATCCAATCTATCTCAAACACTACGATTATCCAAAACAAAATCATCTAAAGAAGACAAAAAACTTACTGCATTGGAGTTCCATTTCTAAAACACTGGAAGATCGCTAAAGCTAATAAACTGTTTGAAGAGCAGATTCAAAATCCAAAAATGAGTTTGTTAAATATCGGTTGATTTTTACCTCAAGCTCTATTATTCACAAGGAAAGAAAGAAAAAGTATACGATGAAAAATTCTTCAATTTACCTGAATGAACGGATACTTCTGCAAGTATTCTTTAGTATAATTATGAGAACTAGCAAATTGAGACCCACAAAAGAGAACACGGGTTAAACCTTTGCTGCTATCCTCATGTGTTCTTTCCATCTTCCACACTGAGAGAAATGCATTGCACATCAGCTAAAAGTTAATGGATAGAAAAAAACAATCATCATTGTAACTTATAACACCACACCAAAAGAAACGGAAAGCACAGCAGCGAACTTTATGACTATTAAGCTTCACTGTCTGCAGAAAAAGACCACACATGAACACATTAGAGCTAACTGGCTTTTGTCTTTGGGTTTGTTAGTAATTTCTACAATAAAACTACTTCTTTTGTAATTACTCCCTTTTTATGATTCAAACCGGTAGGAGGGCCTTCATGCAACTCCTCAGTTTTTTTGTTATCATTTTTCTCAACAACGACATTAACTTCATTTAGTATCCACGAAAAAGGGGGGGAAAAGGTTTTTTTCTGCACTCTTAGACAAGTCTTTTTTTCCTTAACATATGAAAATTTAAAATTCTTTAATAAATGAAAGCTTCTGAGAGGTTTTCTTTGTCTAAGTTCTTTGACGATTAATTTTTGTTCAAGTGTGATATAATTAAATTGCTATAATCCATCAGTTTAAGCCGATTGATGATTTATCATGATATCAGAGCATGAGGTTTTGTGTTCAAGTCACTGTAAAAGACATTTCCTACTTACTAATATTGATTTCCATTTTTTGAGCCATTTACAAATTTTCAAACCCACAAGTGAGGAGAGTGTTTAAGTGTTGATATAACTAAATTTACTCCACTTTAAGCCTTTGGCTCAACTAAAAATCCAACATTCTTCATAGGTTTCCCAAATCATTGGGTACTATGTATTTTCTTACAATTCTTTTCTACAGTTTTTCAATCTAACATTCTTTTAATGACATTTGTACAATTGGAAAGCGTTTTCTTTTTTCTTCGTAGGTTTTCCAAATCATTGGGTACTATATATTTTCTTACAATTCTTTTCTACATATTCCATTATGCTTTATTTCCATTTATCAGTCTTTACTTTGCAAACTTTGATTTCTTGTACTCTCTTACAGTTTTTCAATCATTAATGAGGAGTTTTGTTTCTTGTTAAGAACATTGGTTATGTTAAATTAACTATATCAACACTCCAACATTCTTTCAATGACATATGTAACAATTGGAGGGCTTTTTCTTTTTTCTTTATAGGTTTTCCAAATCATTGGGTACCATGTATTTTCTTACAGTTCTTTTCTACATATTCCATTATGCTTTATTTCCATCTATCGGTCTTTGCAAACTTTGACTACTTGTACTCTTACAGTTTTTCAATCATTAATGAAGAGTTTTGTTTCTTGTTAAGAAGAACAATATATTAAACCCACTAAAAATTGCATAAAGGAACAAAGAAAAATATAGGGGAGATGAAGAATCCCTGCAAGCCAAAGGGATTTATCAAAAAGGACATCAGTTGGCATAAATTATCAAAATCATCATATGACAACGTAAGTCTTCCGGACAAAGTACACCACTAGAAAAGAAAAATTCAAGTCCCAAAAGTCTTCAAAACTACTACGTCTATCTATGACCAATTTCTATGTCAACCTTGATAGTATGGATATGTTTAAGAATTTCTTTCACAATTCATGTGCGCGTAACATTTTTGCTAAAATATAACCATGAGAACAATCCAAAGCCTCCATAAACCGAAACTGGTTAATCATCCCCAACATATTCATTCCAGAACAGCATGAATGTGTTGAAGTTTTGACTGTGGCAATGATCTAAAGCTCTAATTTAAACCAAAAATTAAATTCTTTTCCAATTGATATGGGATTTTATATTTCGCATGTTCTTCATGAGCTAACCCACATTGTGTTGAGACCTACACAGATAACTTTACTCGAGTGACTTACAATTACAAGCTCCCCACACGCTCTGATGATGGAGGCGAACTTTGTCCTTGAAAGACTGTAAAGAAAGTGTACCAGAATACCTCGTGAGAGTTGTGAACATTCCAGTTGAAAGTTGAGCAAAACAATCTAACAAAGACCTGTTGATTTATGGAAGGATATGTTAAACTATCAATTTCCATCCTATCTTGTTTTTTAGAAACTGATTTTCATTAACTCATATGAAATTATGAAAATTACAAAAGACAAGGTGTAATGGCCCAAGCCCACCGCTAGCAGATATTGTCCTCTTTGGACTTTCCCTTTCGGGCTTCCCCTCAAGGCTTTAAATGCTATCTGCTAGGGAAAGGTTTCCACACTCTTATAAAAGGTTTCGTTCTCCTCCCCAACCAATGTGGGATTCTCACACAAGGCCAATAAAAATGTGGAAATATTTTGTTGATAAATATGAGGCTAGTAAGGGAAGATCCAGGTGATGCCATTGCTGTAAATACCTAGGTTTATAAGCTGGTGTGGGCATTAAAAATAATGCTATTCATTTGAGTTCTGCAGCTGTTTGCGATGTTTTTCTGTTTGTTTGCCAAGCTTTCGGTTCGTCTTCTGCTTCAACTGATGTGGTTGCTAAACTAGAAGATGTTAACGACGGTCTAATAGATCATTTTTAACATATGGAGCTGAAGACATAGTTATTTTAGCTTTTGTAAAGTCTTTAAGATGGTGTAGTGTTTGTTCTAGAAACTAAAAGGAACATTCAACTGACTGCTACCATATTCTCAAAGAAAATACATTCATAGAGATGAAATTATGCGAAAACATAACAGCAATTCACCAAATTTCTACTGACATATACACTAAATGCTGCAAGATGAATGAGATAGGAACGAAATTTAAAAAGGAAATTGAGAATAAAGAGGGAATTGCAGAAAATGGGTGCGTACCAGATGCGAGGCTGATTCTCTTTTGCTTCCAATCAAGAACAGTCCGGCTCCTGTGTTTTCGTATCCTCTTTTAATCTGCCTATGAAATACGACTTTCCAAACGGTCGAAGGATATTTCAGGTGATTCGATATTAGAATTCGAACAGAAAAAAAAAAAAAAAAAAAAAAAAAAAAAAGTGGGGGAGAGAGTAAGAAGTTTCGAAAATTAAAAACCCACTTTTAAATTAAACACAGGAATTGCTAAAATCAAATTCCAATATTTATATCAAATTTTGTTTTTCTTAAATTCAGCTTTTTCTTTTTTCTTCCTTCCTAACCTGACCAACCCATCTAAATGATAGGAGTTGAGTTGGGTTAGTATTTTGGGTTGGTTTGGGTTAGGTTATTTTTCTTGAACCCGAATTGACTAGGTTCAATTTTGGATTCATAGGATAAAAACCTCGAATTCCCTCGAACCAAACAAAACTTATAAAATGTATATAGATGTTTAGCATACTAACGGATCAGTTAGAGTGGTAATTTGGACTTACTAGAACTAAATTGTGGATAAAAAAACTCAACTTGAAAATAGAGGGATGGGTCAGGTTCAGTTGGGAAAATTTTTGGGTGACCTAATCCAACTCGACCATGTACCCTCAGTGAAATTATTTTTTATTTAGCAATTGTGTTGTTGAATGTTAACTCAACCCAATAAAAAATGACCCGATTTTTTATGCTTTGAGAAATCAGACGAAAACGGAAGTAAAATGAATAAAAATAAAATAAAAACAAACAAATAAAAATATAATAAAATTGCTTGTGATTTAAAATCAAACAATATCATTGATAAAATCTAAAACATTAGGATACAAAACAAGAATTGTTTCAATTATTTACAAATGGAGAACAAGTGTAGAAAAAATCAATATAAACGACAACCCAAAACGAAATACAAAATCACACCAACGTCTCGGGTCGACATTCCTCTTTGAAAGCACAACTCTCGAGCACCTCCCTACCTTGACAATACCTGAAAAAAAAAAGGGAAGAGGGGTGAGTATAAAATACTCAGTACGCAGACCACGTGTAGGCTCTCATCACATCCATAACCTAATATGTTTCCATGGGCTTGTCATATGGTTTTAAGAAATTTGTTTGGTTTAGGTATCTCCTAAATGTTACCTCACACCACGATGGTGTCTATCACGAGTGTAATGACCCTAAATTTCCACATATCTAGAGTCGCCACTAACGTCTCATGCTCATCTATAGTGCGGAAATATAACTCTTACATGAACATCATTTATAACGTAAACTTCAAAAAAAAAAACGTTTAAAACAACTTCTTCTCTGGAAAACACAGCCATGGTCTTACGTGTTTAAATATGAAATACTGAAATACTGAAATTTAGAGAAAACAAAAACAAATATAAAATAATTTAAAACAATAAAATGCAAAACAACCTATTCTAACTTAAGACTATAAATTTAAATATGAATCTGCCCTCAGCACGTGCCACAGTCTCTGCTCGTGATGCCGCCGTCCTCCGTACAAGTGCACCTTGCCTTGACCTGAAAAATGATGTGGCACACGGCCTGAGTATTTCAAAGAATACTCAGTAAGTGGCCTCACTATAGGGGCCATGCAAATGCAAACACATGCAATCATGATTTAGGGACCTATCTCTAATCATCTTAGGGGTGGCCTCCAGTCTTAGACAAATTGGATATGTAGTACTTCCCTACACATGACTCACACGTGCTAGTGTGAATCCCCAGGGCGCTCGCACACCCCCTGGACCCTCTAGTCAAGCTAATCTGTAGCGACGTCCGGAGGTTAGCGGAACCCCATAGTGTCATGCGCCTCATTAACACCCTCATCTGTGTGCATTCGCACATGTGCGGATTCGAGCTCATCATGTAACAACCCTCAAACAAAAAAAAAAGAAGAGAGAAAACAGATAATAATAATAGTTTTTTAAAAAAATTATGGACTCTCTCTCATCCTTCCCGAATATCTCTCAACACCTCTTGCAACTGCAAAATGATCTGGAAAAAAAACTAAATATAAACAAAAAAAAATGATCCAAAAAAAAGGAAGAAACAAGAAAAATGGCAGATTTTGGGAGGGAAAAATGGGAGAAAGAAACAAAAGAAAGATAGAGGAAAGATAGCAGATTTTGGTAGAGAAAAAATGGGAGATGACTCTCTCTCATCCTTCCCCAATATCTCTCAACACCTCTTGCAACTCGAAAATGATCTGAAATGGGAGAAAAAAACAAAGGAAAGATAGCAAATTTTGGTAGAGAAAAAATGGGAGATGACTTCACTTCAACCAGATTTGATAGGAAGGGAAAGAGATAGACAGTAAGTTAAATCTCCTTTTCTTTTCTCTTTTGCAACAGGTTCTCCTTTTCTTTTCTCTTTTGCAACCTGGTAGAAAAGTTATCTTAGATTTCTCTTTCTATTATTTATATTTAAGATATCTTATCAAAAATCAAACTTGTTGAAAATGGCCAAAGTTATTTAGATTTTAATTAGTAGTTAGAAATTATGTCAGATCTCTTCTCCTTGTACAATTATTTATAATCAGATCTCTTCATCTACTAAATTGCTAATAGAATTAAAGATCTTTAAATGAGATCATAGATCTTTTCTTTTATATAATTATTTAGAATCAGATCTCCTCCTCATTTACTAAACTGCTAACCAATTAAATATAGAAAAAAAGAATTAGAAGTAAAGAATTAAACAGAGAGCTTTGAAAAGAATTAAACAGAGAGATCTTCAAAGAATTGAAGGGAGAGAAATATATATATATATTTAACTAGGTAAATACAGGAAAGAAAAGAAAAGAGAGAGACAGTGGAGGAGGAAAATGGAAGATCTGGTGAGCAGAATTAAAATAAATTCAGAAACAATTTGATGAGCAGAATTAAAATAAATTCGCAAATACATAGAGTAAAAAGGAGGAATATATATATATATATATATATATATATATATATATATATATATATATAATACTCGTAAAGTCTCTAATGCTCACATGAAGTTTAACACATGGACCATTATAAATTTTAGAGAATTGAAATTGAAATTGATGTCATGGTTCATATAAGTTGGCATGGATACAAAGAACAAAACCGAACTTGATAAATTGGTGATACCAGTTTAAGCTAATCAAGTAAGTGGCCTTACTATAGGATAGGCTAAAAATTGTATGAGTTACGATGATGTATGAACTATGTCGTACGATGCAGTATATGAGTTATGATGATGTGTGGGTTATGATACTTGATGATGTGCTCAGTATATATATTTTTTTATGAATGTCGTACTTGATATATTTGATGCACTTTGTGGCAATATGATGAATATGATGATTGCGTGACGTTTACCTTAATATGATGATGTTTTCCATATTGAGCATGCTATATATGATGAGTGTCATATTGCATCATGTCGTTAGATCGACATAGGACACAACCCTAAGAGCGTGAAAATGATATTAATATAGATATCCACGAGTATGTGTTACCTAGAGTAACAAAGAGATGAGACTAGAGGGTTATGTTAGAAGAGACATTATGATGGATTTAGAGGAACCTCATGCATATTGTATGTTCATAAGCATAGGGCTACTTCCCCTAGAGATGATGAGTGCAGACACACACCATATGATGAGCACGAATGCGCACAGGTGCGAAAGCACACAAATGAGAGTGTTCATGAGGTGCATGACACTATGGGGTTCCGCTGACCTCCAGACGTCGCTACAGATTAGCTTGACCAGAGGGTCCAGGGGGTGTGCGAGCGCCCTAGGGATTCACACTCGCACGTGTGAATCGTGTGTAGGGAAGTACTACACATCCAATTTGTCTAAGACTGGAGGCCACCCCTAAGATGATTAGAGATAGATCCCTAAATCATGATTGCATGTGTTTGCATTTGCATGACCCCTATAGTGGGGCCACTTACTGAGTATTCTTTGAAATACTCATACCGTGTGCTACATCATTTTTCAGGTAAAGGCAAGGCGCACTTGTACGGAGGACGGCGGCATCGCGAGCAGAGACTGTGTCACGTGCATAAGGTAGACTCATATTTAAATTTTTAGTTTTAAGTTAGAATAGGTTGTTTTGCATTCCATTGTTTTAAATTATTTTGTATTTATTTTTATTTTCTCTAAATTTTAATATTTCATATTTAAACACGTAAGACCATGGCTGTGTTTTCTAGAGAAGTAGTTCTTTTAAACGTTTTTGAAGTTTACGTTATAAATGATGTTCATGTAAGAGTTATATTTCCGCTTTATAGATGAGCATGAGACGTTAGTGGCGATTCTAGATATGTGGAAATTTAGGGTCGTTACACATCATATGGTGCGCGACCGCACTCATCATCCCTAGGGGAAGTAGCCCCATGCTTATGAACATACAATATGCATGAGATTCCTCTAAATCCATCATAATGTCTCTTTTGACACAACCCTCTAGTCTCATCTCTTTGTTACTCTAGGTAACACATACTCGTGGATATTTATATTAATATCATTTTCACGCTCTTAGGGTTGTGTCCTATGTCAATCTAACGACATGATGCAATATGACACTCATCATCATATAACATGCTCAATATGAAAAACATCATCATATTAAGGTAAACGTCACGCAATCATCATACTCATCATATTGCCACAAAGTGCATCAAACATATCAAGTACATCATTCATCAAAATATATATATACTGCACACATCATCAAGTATCATAACCCACACATCATCATAACTCATATATCATCATAACTCATACATCATTATAACTCATATATCATCATAACTCATACATCATCATAACTCATATATCATCATAACTCATACATCATCATAACTCATACATCATCATAATTCATATACCGCATCGTACGACATAGTTCATACATCATCATAACTCATACAATTTTTAGCCTATCCTACCGTAAGACCACTTACCTGGTTGGCCTTAGTCGAAGTATTCCCTAATTTATTTAACGTAAGCTCCCGTTCCTCAAGAACTACACAAAATGTTGCCAAGGTTTGCTTCCTATCGCATCGTTCGTCACCTTTTGTTAGTATTTTACATTTTAATTAATAATCCAACTAATTGTGTGAAATACGACTCTAAACGATCTC